GGCAGGTGGATCTATGTGAGTTTGAGGCCAGCCTGGTCTACAGAGTGAGTGCCAGGATAAGCTCCAAAGCTATACAGAGAAACCCTGTCTCGAAAAACAAAAACATCAACAACAACAACAACAAAAACAAACAAAAAAATGGAGGCAACAGAGAGATGGCTCAGAGGCTAAAAACACTGCCTGGGCCCAGGTTTTTTCTCCAGCACCCACATGGTAGCTTACAACTGTCTGTAACACCAGTTCCAGAGGATCCAACAACCTCTTTTGGCCTCTGAAGGCACCAGGAATACGTGTGGTTCACAGACATGCATCCTGGCAAGCCCATACACATGAAATGAAATTAAAATTTTAAAAGAAAATTTGGAGACTGTACAAGATTATTTTGGCAGCAGTTAGTCTCAAACTACTACTAAATAATGAATATAGACTTCAATTCAGTTGTTACAGAATCTCAAGTTCATGGGGTGATTTGTGTTGCTGACAATGGTTTTAACTATAATTATCATAAAAATTTTAATGGACAATGAAACTCCCAGAACATGTCCCAAGAACTGAGTGAGGAGAATTCTGAGTGCTTGTGAGGAAACTCCAAGAAAACAGGACAAGAGTCTTGGAACCTCAGTTTTCTCACATCAGGGGGGTGGTTTTGGAATGTGTTTTGGTGCTCTTCCCAGTGCCGTGGATAGGATCGAGTTTACTTCATATTATTCATTATAGCTTGCTATTGTTACTTGTTTATATGTGTCTATGGAAGAACATGTTTTGCCACATGGTTTGTCTGTCGGCCACATGTGACTTGCACTTGTGACTAATTACACACTTTACTCATGTGATCCTTCTTAACCCTCAGAGAATAAATTGTCTGATGCTCTGAAGAAAGTTGGCTTTTGCATGAGACTTTAGTCCTTATCTCATTTGTTGGCACCATTTTTTCCAGATCCCACTGCCTCTGGAGCAGTAACATGAAACTTTATGCATTCTTTTTTTTTTTTTTTTTTTTTTTTTTGGTTTTTTTGAGACAGGGTTTCTCTGTGTAGCTTTGGAGCCTAACCTGGCACTCGCTCTGGAGACCAAGCTGGCCTTGAACTCACAGAGATCCGTCTGCCTCTGCCTCCCAGTGCTGGGATTAAAGAAAGGCGTGCACCACCAATGCCCGGCCACTTTATGCATTTTTAAGGTAGCTTTTTAGATAAAATACTTGGTGCACAAGTGTGAATGAGCACAGTTTGGACACTCAGAATCCATGTAAATGCCTGGTGGGCCTGCCTGTAATGTAAGTGCTTGTAAGACAGAAAGGAGACCCACAGAGCAAGCTGGCTAGACTATCCATCATGGTAAACTCTGGGTTCGATGATGAGGTAGAGAATGATCAAATAAGGCTCCCCATGTCAGCCCTAGGTGACATGCACACATGCACACATATAGAGGAACCACACAAAAGTGCAAAAGGGGGACAAGGAGCTTTCCATAACATGCAAATTAAACCGGAGGAAGCACGGTTTAATAACCTTAAAAAGGATGTATCTTGGCTGAGCATATATTTAAGTGGGAGAGCATTGGAAACAAAGTCCTAGGTCAATTCCCAGCTACACACACACACACACACACACACACACACACACACACACACACACACACACGGATTATGTTTGTTGCTCCATCGCTACTACAAAGTTGTTCAGAAGCAGATAGAAAGCATTTTACCACCTGGGTCCCAGGGATCAAATTCAGTTCTTCAGCCAAGGGCCTTCTTGCCAACTTCAAGTTCTTACAAGCATTCTAGGACTCACAGGCTGGCTATTTCTATGAGTCCCTCTAAAAGGGAATGAGAACTCTTTGGAGACTAGCTCCTTTACAATCTAAGGGAAGAAATCACAAAGGGTCCAAAACAACAGTTCTTCAAATTCATCCCATAGGCAGCAGCATCACCCCAAACATGTGTTGGAAATGGCACTTACCAGATCCCATCTCAGACCTACTCAGTCAGAAAGCCAAGGGGTGGGTCTAGCTATTTATGCTACTGACTCTTCTAGGTGATTCCAATTGCTACATCTTGAGCACCACAGACAGACCGGGCTTCTGTCTTTAGAAATGACACTGCTTTCCAGAACATTAAATAAGGACAAAGGTTAAGCTGGAGGAGACTTTGTCTAGCTAAACCCAAAATCAGAGCACCAAAAATTCTGTGTGTGGTTGACACAAGTTGAATCTGTAAAAGGTCATATGTTATCATGATATTTGGAGGTGAAATATTGATGAACTATATGAAAAATTAGCTGAAATAACTGGTGAGTAAACATTAATATTGGTTATCATAATAACATAATAAATAAGTATAATAATAAAGTAAAATTTAGTTAAAAATTAATTTCAGGGGCTGGCTAGATGGCTCAGCAGGTGAACACACTTGCTACCAAGACTGATGGCCCAAATTCAATTCCTGGGATCCACACACAAGTGCATGCACACAGTCATGCACACATGCATACAGTCAGGAACACAGTCATGCACACATGCATACAGTCAGGAACACAGTCATGCACACATGCATACAGTCAGGAACACAGTCATGCACACATGCATGAGGTCATGCACACTTCCATACTCCTACACAAAACAAATAAATAAGTGCTAACTGAACAGACTGCATTCTTCTTTCAGGGGCACGAGGAGGTGAGAGGACGACCCTGCTGTCCTTGCCTCCCCCTTTGTTTGATGTAAGGTCTTTACTGTGTGCCATTGCAGGATCTCACCTCCAGATTTTCTCATATAAACTTTGTCTCATCATGGTCATTTTTAGTATGTTTACCAAAAGACTTTAAAAGAAGCTATTTTGCAACCATAACATCTTTATTCTTGTTTTGTTTTGTTTTGTTTTGTTTTTTGTTTTGAGATAGGGTCCTGTCTGTCCTGGAACTCACTATGTAGCCCAGGCTGGCTTTGAAATCAGAGATCTACCTGCTTCTGCCTCCTGAGTGCTGGGATCAAAGGAGTGAGCCACCACCTCTGGTCATAACATCTTTATTCTAATTAATGGAAGGATTACACATACCAACCATAAAGGGAATGGTATTTTTCCATCCTAAAAAAATTACAAGAAAGACATGGAGTTCCGGGCTTATAATCCCAGCACTTAGGCGGTGGGGGCAGCAGATCAGAAGTTCAAAGTCACCCTTAGCTTCACAGTGAGCTTGAGTTCAGCATGGGCTATAAGAGATCTTGCTTCTAAAAACCAAAATGAAGCAAAATAACTACAAAGACAACAAAAAGAACTCATCAGTGCCTCTCCAAAGTCAAAGTAGTAAACACTATCAGCATTAAGATGACAAAGAGTCACATTTCTCAGTGAAAACTTTAAACAGTAACATTGCTCAGTGAAAAATTTTAAAATAACTACTAAGTTGGGAAATGCTAATTACACTGTATATATTGTGTGCATCTGATAAAAATATCATGTTATATCACAATAGTATGCACAATTACTGACATTAATAAAAATGATACAAATGACAAAACTATTTTGTTATTTAGTACTTTATATACCACTTAAAGAAAATCAAATGTATCCTTACCTCATGCCATTGTCTAGTTGGCTGGTTTTATTTGTGTTGGCATCCCATAGATAAATGCAACTAGACTTCTCAGCAATCACTGCCAGGATATCCCCATCTTTATCCCAATCCATGGCAACACAGTTGCTTTTGGAAAAGAGAAAAATCATTACTATTCACTTCTCAAAAATCAGAGAGAAGAAACAAATACTCACCTACCTATGACTTCTGCCTACAACAAGACCGCTCAGTATCTTTTAACAGGTCATGAACATCCTAAAATGAGAAATTCAACCTGCTATCCACTGATAACACAAGATTAATTTTAATGTTTCTGTGGAAAAAATTTAAGTTCTACTTTCACTACCACTTTAATGTATTACACTAAGTAAAACTGTATGTAACCAATTAACCAACTATCTGGTTTTCCTGAGTCCTAAAAGCAAAACAAAACAAAACAAAACAAAAAAACCTTATCTTCCAGGAAGATAAATTCATCAAGAAATCTACAAATGAATTAAAAGTCAGAACCAATGTTTTCATCTTCCTTCTTTTTTTTTTTTTTGACAAGAGTATTCTTACCTAGTTCTGGCTAGTGTGGTAGACAAGTCTGGACAAAATTTGCAGTGATCCTTCTGCCTCTGCCTCCTGATAACTGAGATGGTAGCGGTGCACCACCATGCTTGTCTGTTTGATAAGTATTTTTATGTATTTGTTGGTGGTACTAGGACTTGACTCTAGGTCCTTAACTGTGTCAGCCAAGTGCTCTATCACTAAGCTGTATCCTCAGCCCTTTAGCAGGTAATTTTCTAAGACCAATTTTTTAGTTTTTTTTTCAACTTAGCATACAAAGTAATGCATTTCATTATATAAGACCTAGCAGTGAAAGGTTTCATATTTACAAAAGTGAAAAAGCACTATAAGAAACGCAGTTCTACCTAGATAGGTAAAACAAAGTAGGTCAAGGTTGGTGTGCTGGCTAGTTTTTATGTCAGCTTGACAAAAGCTAGAGTCATCAGAGGAGAGAGCCTCAGCTGAGGAGAAAATGGCTCCATGAGAAAAGCCTATAGGGCAATTTCTTAATTAGTGATTCATGTGGGAGGTCCCAGCCCATTGTGAGTGGCCACCCCTGGGCTGATGATCCTGAGGTCTGTAAGAAAGGATGAGCAAGCCAGTAGGCAACACTTCTCCATGGCCTCTGTATTATCTCCTGCCTCCAGGTTCCTGTCCTGACTTCCTTCAATGCTGGACTATGACAAGGAAGTGTAAGCCAAATAAACTTCCTATTCCCCCCCCCCAATTGCTTTGTGGTCACGGTGTTCACAATAATAGTAATCCTAACTAAGACAGAAGTTGATGGCAGGATAGCGAGGTACTGATGTGACAGACCTGACCATGTCATTTTGGGAAGAATTGTGGAAGTCTAAATTCCTCCAAACAAAAATATGTTCAGGCCTATCACAGCAATACCCTTAACCTTGGTACCAACTTCTGTCTTAGTTAGGATTTCTATTGCTGTGAAAAGACACTATGACCACAGCAATTCTTATAAAGAAAAACATTTGTGGTGGCGGTGGCTTAAGAGGTTCATTGTCATCATGGTGGGGAATATGGTGGCGTGCAGGCAGACATGGTGCTGGCTGCACCTTGATTAGAAGACAAGGGAAGTGGACTGTTACACTGGGAGTAGCTTAAGCACAGGAGAACTCAAAGCCCACCCAACAGTGACACACTTCTTCTAACAAGGCCAAACCTACTCCAACAAGGTCACACCTACTCCAACAAGGCCACAACTCTTAATAGTGCCACTCCCTTTGGGAGCCATTTTCTTTCAAACCACCATAGTTGGTAGATTAAATGAGGAAGATCAGGAGTTCAATGTCATCCTCATCTACATACTGAGTTCAAAGCAAGCTTGGCTACATGGGATCCTATCTCAAAACAAAACCAAAAGAAAATCACATATGTGTATAAAATATATAATGCATAGATATGTTTTTAACTTTATAATTTCTCTAATTCTCAAAAAAAAAAAAACAAAACCCAGACCTCTTCATTTATAAAATGCTATTTTTTTTTCATTTGGACACTCTTTGCTCTTGAGTAGTGGGTAAAACACACTTTGATTTACATTTAGGTTGGTGATTATTTTATTTTTATTCTTCAAATGCTTACGATATGTTTGGGGACTCTAATTTCCTTTAATAGTCTCAGAAACTACGGGAGCATAGAGGGAAGTTTTGAAATTGTTGATAAAATCATTTGCCAATTAAAGACTGACAATTAGACAGAATTTTATTTGTTTGGAGATCCTTTTTGGTCAAATCCAACTATTATGAATCCAGCAACAGAATTCAGATGAGGTCCTTATGCAACCCAAACAGGTGTCACCGAGATTAAGCAATTAAACTCACACAATTTATTCGAAGCAGCTTTTTTCACTGAGTGCCTTCCTTTAGGCATAATCACTGAGTAACTGTTTTGATCTCATTCCCCAAAATATAGAAATCAGAAGCAACAATGAAGAGTGTGGGAGATGGTAAAAATGCTAGCCTTAGAAGGAGAGGAGCAAGTGGGAGAGGCCAGGCCAAGAGAAGTAAACAACGGGACTTGGAAAAGTGGTAAATACACTATGGACAGCAGATATACATTGAAAAGCACAGCAGCACAAGTCTACTGAGGTTAGGGAGTGTCCATGTGAGCAACTGCTGAGTCTGTCAGCAGAGTAAGATGACAACACTGAACCATTCACAGCACCTAATCTACCCGTGCATTTAGAATGGCATCCTGAAAATGGAAGACATCTTCATTCTCTAAGAAGTGTGTGCAAAGCAACTGTTCTCCAGTGATTTCTGGAAATACCAAAGGAAATACAGGTTGGGTATTCCTAATGGGAAAATCCTTTGTAATTTTTTTCCATTTTCATGAGTGTGATGTTTATATGTGTACACATGTTTTCATGTGTAGAGATACAGGTGTGTGTGTGTGTGTGTGTGTGTGTGTGTGTGTGTGTGTGTGTGTGAGTGATCATGCAGAGGCTTCTGGTTCATGCTGGGAATCATCCTCAAACACTCTTCTTATTGAGGCAGGCCCTCTCAATCAAACCCAGAGTTTACCTATATGGCTAGTCTAAGTAGCCAGCTTGCCCTAGGGATCAATCTTGTCTTCATTTTCCAAGGCTGAAATTACAGGTGAGTCATTCTTCCCCTGTCCTGGCATTATGTGTGTACTGAACTCTGGTCCTCATGTTTGTGTGGCAAGTGCTCAGGCATTTCCCAGGCCCAGAGAAACCTTATACTCACACAAAGCTTCCCTGTGAATATTTATGTATATAAACTCTTACTCAAGTGCCACACACATGCTTTGCTAACTTTAGCATAAAGAAAAAAAAAATCCTTTTATAGCTACAGAGAACAAAAGAGGAGATGGGGCTATTCATTTGATTTATTTATTTTTTTATCTTTAGGCAACAAAGCTTGAAGGTTTGATCCACCCCTGTACTTACCCAGGTAAGCTAATTTCACTTCTTTTTTGGCCATGGCGATCAAAGATTTTAACAATACAGTCAGCTCTGAAAGCAAGTAGAATAGAAAAGTTAATTTAACATTTCTCTTATTTATCATATATCTAAAAAAATTAGGCTCTATTTCAGTTGACCTCAGTGTTCTTTCAAGGTAGTTTTTAAATTTGTTATTTTAAAAAGTGATGATCAAGGAAAAGGCTCTGTAAACTCTGATGTTAATGGGTTTGAATATCTATTTCACACACTATCACACAAGAGTTTATACTAAAGAGACAGTATGGGCACAGATTAGGTGTGGATACATATGCACACAACCATTATTGAAAGCATTCATTCTTTTCTTACCCTGTTACTGCAAGGAAGTTTCCTGATGATTTTTGCCAGGCAAACTGTATCGGTGCACCAAGCCATGTCTTTTCTAGCAGGGAGAAAACACGCTAAAAAATAAACACAATTTTTATATTTTCAAAACAATTAACTATTGGTCAGAAAATATGTCAAAATTTAATCCTGCAGATATGTAGGTTACAGAATAATTTTTTAAAAAAATATTAAAAAAAAATAACAATGAGAGCCAGGTACGGTGGCATACACCTTTAATCCCAGCACTTGGCAGACAGAGTGATCTCTGTCAGTGTGAGGCCAGCCTGATCTACACAGTGAGTTACAGGACAGCTTAGGGATACAATCACAACAAGCAAAAAAACAACAATAAAATAAACAAAACAAAAATCAACCAATCAATCAAACACAAGTAGCTTGTGCAGCAGGATGGACTTTGTGAGTTAGCTTCAATTATTGACACAATCTAGAGTTATCAGCCAAGAGGGGGTCTCAATGAGGGTCTGTCTATCCTGGGCTGGGCTGGCCTGTCTTGCTAATGGATGTGGGAAGACCTACCCAACTGTGGGAGGCACCATTCCCTAGGCAGTAGGGTTCTGATTTGAAGAAATGAGCTAAGGATAAGAAAGTGGGCATGCTTGCATCTATTTCTCTCTACTTAGGACTGAAGATGTGATCTGACTGGCTCTAAGCTGCTCTAAGCTCCTGCAACTGTGCCTCCCCTGCTTAGGGGACAATCTGGAACTGTAAGCTGAAGTAAATCTTGCCCCCCACGTTGTTTCTCTCAGGTACTCTTTTTTTAAATTTTTATTTATTATGTATACAACATTCTGCTTTCATGTATATCTGCACACCAGAAGAGGGCACCAGGTCTCATAACGGATGGTTGTGAGCCACCATGTGGTTGCTGGGAATTGAACTCAGGACCTCTGGAAGAGCAGTCAGTGCTCTTAACCTCTGAGCCATCTCTCCAGCCCCTCTCTCAGGTACTCTTATCACAGCAACAGAAATGAGACTAGAACAGACCTCAAGATAAAAAAGAGATGATCACATAACTACTTTTGTTTGTTTTGAGACAGGGTCTCAGTATCATAGCTTTGGTTGGACAGCAACTTGCTATGTAGAGCAGGCTGGCCTCAATCTCACAAAGACACATCTGCCTCTGCCTTCTGAGTGCTGGTGTTAAAGCTGTGTGCTTTTAAATGTTTTCAATTGTTAATTTTATAAAAACATATCACAGTGCTTTATGCACAGAGAGAATTTAAACATGAGTTTGTTAACTGTGAAACAGATTTGGGGGATTAAATTTAACAACATTACTATTTAAAAATCTTGAATGATTACGATAGACCTATCTAAGATGCTCACAATCCCTTTAAAATTATCTTCTTTTACCTACTAGTTATACTTTTTTTTTTTTTTTGGAGGAGGGTCTTTTTGAGACAGTATTTTTCTGTGTAAAAGTTCTGGCTGTCCTGGAACTCTGTAGACCAGGCTGGACTTAAACTCACAGAAATCCTCCTGCCTCTGCCTCCCAAGCTGTGGGCAACAATGCTGGCTTCATTGATAATTTTTCTATTGATTACATGTTGAAATAAATTTGGGAGATACTCAGCAAAACAAAGCATATTATCACAATTTTATCTGTTTCTTTAACAGCCTTACAGTTGCTATAAATTAAAAATTTTGAAATTTCATTTATTTATATTATTCTTACATCAGACTTCAAGTCTAGAAGACCTGCAAACATGACCCTAAATGAAATAAATATTAGATTTAAATGTTTTAGATTAAACAAGGGCACCCTTATCTAGGTAGATGCAGCTTATTTATGTACTATTGCAGAAGACTTGGGTCTGAGTGGCAACACAGCTCCTCCAGTACTTTCTGAACACATTCTGTATCCACCTCCTGAAAGCCAGTGTCCTGGGACACTATGATTCCAAGCACACACAGGTTTTGTCTAGCATAAACATACACACGTATTTAAAAACACCTTACTTCTGCAACTGTGTGACTACATTGTTGGTAAATCTTACTTTAGTCCCTTCATGGCAGATCTGTCTTGGGCTGTGATCTTACAGGTTAGTTTTCTTCCACAGAGCTTTCTAGCTACTCTAGGTACAACTCAGAAATGAAAGTTACAGCTTTCCAACCAAAAACCCAAAGGTTTGCTTCTTATGTGTTAGTTATGGGCATTAGAGCAAGTCACTGAAACTCTCAAAGTGCAGGAGTCTCAGCTATAAAGAAAAACGTAGTTCCACCTTTCTGATACATCGTATTGGAAAGTGAATCACTTCTGAAGTGAATCATGCAGAGTTATCTGTCAATCCAATTGACACAAGAGCCACAGTTAAGTTTTAGCAAAGCTGAAACCATTTAAAAATCGGCTTTTCCGTTTCTTTGCTAGAGCAGGGAGGGGTAGGTATCGCTGAGGTAAATCACAGGAGCGAAGAAGCTGCAGCTGTAGGATTCACAACAAACCTAAATGGTAGAAAATCTTCCTGCAGAGGACGACGCACACAAGTGTGCACATTCCACCTTCCTGTGTTCTAGCGACCAGCAATCTGTACACTGGACGGCCACAGGCCAAATAATTTTTGATTACTTTTTTGGAGACTTTTCATTCTCTCTAGGGCTCTGGTCCTGCGGCTTGGCTTGCCTGGGATTACCTTACAGAAATGAGGCAGCTTGAGGCAATGGGTCACCGCCATAGCGACCCGTGCCCAGCGCTGATAAGTTCGGGCATCCTCAGATCCAGGCTTCTACTGGGGTTCAGAGGGTACAGGCCTTCCTCTCCGCCTGTTTTCGGAGCGTCCTTTCCCCTCATCCCTTACTGACCCATCCTCTCCCTCCCGCTCCCTGGGCGCATTCCTCCACCCCTCAGCACTCCTGAGGAGGGACGGGGACACAAACGACTCAGAGTCGCGCTCCTAGAGTTGAGGAAACCAGCGACAGCCGCGTCTTCTCACTACCCAGGGCTCTTGTAAGTTATTTACCTTCATCTCCGGGCTCCAGTGGCACCCTGATCTTCTAAGTGCGCAGGCGCTCCAAAACTCCCCCACCAGACTACCGCGTTCCCGTCACCCGGGAGACCGGGCAAACAATGACCAATCAGCGAGCGTGGGGCGGGGCTTTTCTGGCGCCATCCTTTGAAAGAGATGGGCAGGGAGGATAGAGTCATGTGATGGAGGCGGAGCTAAGCCCCGGGAAGTTGGGGGTCACGAGGTCCGCTCAAATTCCTGCCTGAGCTCTGACTGGGTAAAATCAACTCCGGGAGGCGGGCTCTGAGGACGGAAAGGGTCCTGAGCAAATCTGCCATGAAGAATGCTGTGATAGCGGGAGATGATGTGGAGAAATTCCTGGAAAAAAGCAATAGTCGGATGGTGGCAAGTAGGAGGAGGGAACCTGGCTCATGGATCAAACGGCTTCTACCAGCTCCACACGTACAAGGCTTGGAGAAACTGGAGTGTCATCCTCTCTCTCTCTCTCTCTCTCTCTCTCTCTCTCTCTCTCTCTCTCTTTCTCCTACAGAGGAGATGAGGCGTGAGGGGTCCTTTCTTTTAAAGTCGTTAAGACAGTTTTAGTTAGTGTGTGGTCAGGGAGGAACAAGAAAAAAAAAATGAATTCACCTCTAGAATTGGAGCCTGACATCCTTTTAAAAGGATTAGGCCCGAAGGCATTGGGTGTCTTTCATTACAGTGTTTCAAAACTTCCTCTTTTGCTATTTGAAAAATGCCAATCAACCCATCTTTTTGTTTCCTTTTTTTCCTATATCTGGTAGGAATCTGATTTGCAGAGGAAAAACATTTGAATAAAACAGCTGCTGATAAGTGTGAACTTTGCACTGGGGCTTGCGGTTGGGTTAATTCTTGATTTTAGGTTCCTGAATCGAATCCTGATTTCTGTAAATCAATGACAGAAAAACTGAAATTGAATCAACGGTTAATAACCTTCCAGAGACAAAGCACTAGTCTAAAGGTGTTCACTGGTGAGTTACCTGAAACATTTAAGGAGGTAGCTTTACAAATTCTCTACAGTCTCTTTCAGAAGGTAGGAATGGGAGTCAAACCCAAAGCCATTACAAAACAAAACAGAAAAACCCCCTCCCTGTCAGTATTCCTTGAAGTCATAAATGCAGAATGATCAATAAAATATTAGTATATAGAAGCTGATAATTGCTAAAAATAATTGCATACCAAGGCTAAGTGAGATCTACCCCATGCAGTATAGGATGTTTCTAGGTTAGAAAGTATTTTCCCCCATAGTGTTAATGGGAACCCACCGTCACTGAGATGCTGTCTATAGTGAACTGAAAATCTTTATTCCCGCTAGCTGGGAATACACTCAGGCATTCTGGGACACCAAGTGTCCAGAATACAGCATTATTGAAAGCAAAAACCACTTCCTGGCTGGGTGTGGTGGCACACACCTTTAACTCCAGCACTCCAGAGGCAGAGAACTCTGTGAGTTCTAGGCCAGCCTGCTTGAAATGAGTTCCAGGACAGCCAGGGTGGTATACAAAGAAACCCTATCTCAAAAAAAATCAAACCAACCAAACATAAAACAAACCACATTTTGGCATCTCATTTAGCAGCTGTGTGTGTGTGTGGGGGGGGTGTAATGCAAGCAGGCAGTTTAACAGAAGCTAAGCTAGCTAGGCATCATGACCTTAGGTTCCTACAACAGAGTTGGTAATTTTCCATGGGGCTTTTCATCTAGGAGATCAGATTCTAGTCAAGCCTAAAATGGCCTCAGCAGGAATATAAGATGGAGCAGAAGGTCACAATACAACAGGCTAAAGAAGGAAAGCTACATGGTTGTATCAATAGCTATAATAACAAAGCCCTGGACAAAATTTAACATGTAAAATTCTCAACTACAACAAAAACAACAAAAACCAAACAAGAAAAGAAGGAATAGAGGGAGATTTACCAATTGCAAACAATCCCCAAGAAGTCTACTGCTGATGACATACTCAATGCTAAGAAACTTGAAAGTGTTCCCCATTAAGGAACAAGGCAAGGATGTCCCCTCTTGGTACTCTTTCTCATTTATGGTGGAAGTTCTAGTTATTGTAACAAGGAGCATGCTGACTGAAAAGGGAGGTGGAGAAACTTCGCAGATGATGTGATTGAGTGTGTAGAGAATCTGAAGAAAAAAAGGACAAAAACCATTGCAAGAACTGATTATACCAAGTTTTCAGGATACAATTGTAATCCACAAAGATTAGTTGCTTTCCTCCATACTAGCAATGAGCAGATTTGAAATAAAAGAACAGTGCCATGTATGTGTGTACCACCAAAATGAGATGCAGCTATGAGTCAAGCAACATGTACTTGATCAGTGTGGAGAACAGTACACAACTGAGGAGAGACAATAAAGAACTCAGTAGGTGAGGGCCCTTGCTGCTGAGTCTGACCACTTAATCAGAAGCCAACATAATGCCAAAATAATGGAAGGAGAGAACCCATTGCCACAAGTTGTCTTCTGGGCTCCTCATGCCTGCAGTGGCACCTGTATGCCAACAATCACACAAATAAAAATAACAAAAAAGTTGTAAAGAACTAAATAAAAGGAGAGACAGCTCATGTTCATGAATAGTAAGTCAGAATTATAAGATGCCAGTTTTGTTGTAATTTAAGAAAGGCGGCACGAGAAAGATGCCATGAGACAGGGTTCAAACAGGGTTTTTTGTTTGTTTGTTTGTTCGATTTGTTGTTGTTTTAAATTAGGGAAAGGGATCATAAAAAGGGGAAAGGGGAGGGGGGAGACTGGCCTTCAGAGACAGGAGCAGCAGGAGAAAGAGGAGGAAAGGGGGAGGGAAGGGGAGAAGGAGAGAAGGAAGGAGAGGGGAAGAGAAGGATAGGAGGTGGGCAGGGCCTTTTAAAAAGGGAACATAGTGATTATGCACAGGTGGTGTTCTTAGTGGCTGCAGCTGAGGGGGTACCCTGTCAGGACCCCAAGGACAGGCCAGTACAGATGCCTGAATACTAACAAGACCCCCCCAGTTTTATCTGTAACTTTAATGGAAGCATAATAAAGATTAATCAGTTTACTAACTAATGGATCCCGAAGTTTCTTGGGTGAAGCAGACATGCAGAATAACCATTGTTAAAGGAGGAGGAGCACTGACACTATCTGACTTAAAGGTCACCATAAAACTACACTATCAAGAGAATGTGGAGGGGCAGGTCAGCTGCCTCAGCAGGAGGAAACTCGTGCTGTGCAAGCCTGACAACCTGGCTTTGATCCCCAGAGCCTATTTTAAGTAGAAAGAGAGAACTACACCTCCAGAAAATTGTTCTCTGGCCACCAGCCATGTGCTGCTGTGGCACGCACACACACAATAATACTGCACCACACAGTGCACTAATAATGTTTTTTTTTTTTTTCAAGTATTTTCAATAGACCAATGTAATGGGTGTCTCAGTGAATAAAGACATTTTCTGCCAAGCCTGGAAACCCAAGTTTGATGCCCAGATCCTACATGGTAGCAAGCTAACTTCTTCAAGTTTCCTTCTGGCCTCCATATGTAAACCCTGGCATACACATCTTATCCCCAAGGACACAAAGTAAATGTAAAAAAAAAAATTAAGTGTCTTCAAGACTATGTGGTAAGAGTGATAGAATGGACAAATGTGTTGGTGGATTATATCACATCCCAAAAGAGATCCAAATCGATTTAGTCGACTGATCATTAACAAAAAGAAAGAGCAGCACAGGGTAGCAACAGTATTGTCTGCCTAGTGCTGGGACTACTGTATGTCCACATGAAAGGATATCTGAACAAAACCCTCACAAAAATGACTTGAAATTAACCACAGACTAAATGAAAGACATTAAATTGTAAATAAGACAATGTAGGAGAAAGTCTAAGTGATCTTGGACTTGATTACTTTTTAGACACAATATCAAAGACACAATCCATAAGAGACATAATAGATAGACAAAACTTCATTAAAATTCAGAGCATTGCCTGGAGATGGCTCAGGAAGTGAAGGCACTTGCTGCCAAGACTGACATCCTTAGTTCAGTTTTCCATCCTACATTGTGGAAGGAGAGAACAGAGTGCTGCAAGTTGTCCTTTGATCCCCCAAATGCTTGAGTGAATGTACACACTGGAACACACACAAAGGCATGCTGTGGAGAACATTTGCACACACACACATACACATAAATGTAATAAAAAATGAAAAGAAAAAAAGGCAATTCTCTGCCAGTGACACCATAAAGAGAATGAGAAAACAAAGCACAGGCTGGGAGAGACACTTGCAAAAGATAAGCCAACAAAAGACTGATAGAGAAAAACAAAGAACTTTATAACCAAAGGAGAAAACAAACATCTTGATTTTAAAATGTGCAAAACTCGTGTCTGACCAAACTTCTAGCCAGAACAGCTTCACAGATGACAAGTGTCTTAGTAAGGTTTCTATTACTGTGAAGAGACACCGTGGCCATGGCAATTCTTAGAAGGAAAACATAATTGAGGGGGCTCACTTACAGTTTCAGAGATTTAACCCACTATCATCACGACAGGGAACATGGTGTCATGCAGGCTGTCGAGGTGTTGGAGAAATAGCTGCAAGTCCTACATCTTGCAGGCAATGGGAAGTCGACTGAGACACTGGGAGTTATCCTGAGCATAGGAAACCTCATAGCCCAACCCCACAGTGACATACTTCTTCAAACAATTCCATACCCACTCCAACAAAGTCACACCTCCTAATTGTGCAGTTCCTTATGAGATGATGAGTGCTAATTACATTCAAACCACCACAACAATTTAAGAATAAAAGTTCAACACCAAGTGTTATTAGGAGATTGAAAGTTAGAACAAGCACTGTGGTCACATACCTACTAGAATGGCTGGCACCAGCACCAAATGCTGGCAAAGAGGTGGAGCAACTGGGCTTTGCATTCACTGCTGGCAGGGATGAAGAAGAGTGGTGGATTCTTTGGAGGACAGTTTTGCGGTTTCCTAACAAACTAAGTGTGCTCTTGCCGCGTGATCCAGCACTTGTATTCTTTGTATCTACTCGAACAAAATGAAAACATACCATACAAAATCTCAGACACAGCTGTTTATAGCAACTTTAGTTATAATTGTTAAAATTTGGAAGAAACCAAGATGTCCTTTAGTAGGTGACTGGA